AAGGGACGTGTGGTTAACATTAAACATTGTCCAAGCATAGTTGTCTCATACTTAAAAGTATTCTTTATCACTCCATCAGCCCAATTTATTAGATTAATATATGGTTATATCTAATTTAATCTAATCAAAAGTGAAACTTTCAGTTTCAATCCATTATTTAGTCTTGTATGTGTTTTGTAGTCACACCATGCACCATTTTCTACTGAAAGTTCTGGTTTATTAAAATGGTGTAACTCTCGCTGACCGGTTAAAACGACATGTGTGTGGCGTGCTATACGTAAAACAAAGGTGATAGATCTTGCCTAATCTTTAAAATTATCATGACGCCAGTGCATAATCCTGCGCCATATAGGCGTGACGCGCGAACCTATATTACCATAAAGTAGGAAGTGAAATGAGACGAGTTGGTCGTGTCGTCAATTTAAGCCTATTTCGTAATTCATTTGTTGATATAGTTTGGGATAAAACAAACTGACATGTCGCCTCATGTCAAGTGACAAAAGGACAAACAAACAACACTTTATGTAAGCAACAGATTTAGAATCGTAAGTTACGGCGGTCACGCCGACTCTGGGCCTCACCACAGAAACACATATTCGATGGTCAGAAAGACCAAGTTTACTTGTCAGAAAGGTCATGGTCCCTGGTTTTAGTCAAAGTTCATTTGTCACTTGTAGAACATGTATTAAAAAGCATTGATAAACTTAATGAACAGCAATAACTGCGAAACCTGTGGGACCTGTAGGTAATCAAGTGGTTCAGTGTAGATAATCAGGAAGGTCCAAGCAGGTATTCCCGTAGATCAAGGTAGGTATTCAGAAAGGTCCAAGCAGGTATTCAAGGTGGGTATTCAGGAAGGTCCAAGCAGGTATTCCCGTAGATCAAGGTAGGTATTCAGGAAGGTCCAAGCAGGTATTCCCGTAGATCAAGGTAGGTATTGAGGAAGGTCCAAGCAGGTATTCCCGTAGATCAAGGTAGGTATTCAGGAAGGTCCAAGTAGGTATTCCCGTAGATCAAGGTAGGTATTCAGGCATATCGACGTGAGAAATCAGGTAGGTTTTCGGGTAGTTCAATATAGGTAATCAAGTGGATCGGCGTAGGTATTCAGGTAGGTCAAGGAAGGTATAAAGTAGATCACTATAAACTACCCATCAAAAGTTTAGACTCACTAGTGTAAATGTAGCCACTTACTTCAGCCAACCTTTCTAAACTAGATTTTGCAAAATATACAAGACTGTTTAAAGGTACTGTTTACACATGAACTGATGTATTGTAAAACATATTCGTAACGTTGAAAAGATTAGTGTCATGAGTTAAATAAATGATGAAACTCAGTGAAAATTGGCGAATTCTTAACAAAACTTTACACCAAACTCACACCAGCTGTTCACATGCACGATATTTGCACATGCCTTTCAGCAATCTGATGCATGATCCTCCTGCAATTCATCTGCAGAAGGTTTGCAGTTGGTTCCCCCAAGTTAGAGGAGAAGTTCACCTTCGATGTAAGCACATATATATACATAACATATAGTGAACGTTTTAAGTGAGTCTTGATGGGTAGTGTAGTTAACAAGGTACACATATAGTGAACGCTTTAAGTGAGTCTTGATGGGTAGTGTAGTTAACAAGGTACACATATAGTGAACGCTTTAAGTGAGTCTTGATGGGTAGTGTAGTTAACAAGGTACACATATAGTGAACGCTTTAAGTGAGTCTTGATGGGTAGTGTAGTTAACAAGGTACACATATAGTGAACGCTTTAAGTGAGTCTTGATGGGTAGTATAGTTAACAAGGTACACATATAGTGAACGCTTTAAGTGAGTCTTGATGGGTAGTATAGTTAACAAGGTACATCAGAGTCTTTGAACGGCACTTAGAAGTAACACACATAAAGGCAAGACTTTATGGATGTCAACTTCTTCATTTTTCGTCGTGTCTATCAAAATATTGATGTAGACATCCATAAGTTCTTGTCTTCAAGGTAGGTAAGCTTGGGTATTATGGTAGATGAAGATATTTAATTCAGATAATTCAAGCGACAAATTCAGATATGTCAAGGGGTTTTTCATTCATGAGTAAGGACTCAGGTAGATCAAAGTAGTTAATCACATAGATCAAGGTAAAGAATCGAGTGAGTGGGTTAAGATTTAAAGTCACATGTAAGTATTCGAGAAGGTCAAAGTAAGTGTTAAAGTAGATGAACGCAGGTAAACGCCAAGGTATGTGTTCAGGTAGGTCAATGTAGGTATCAAGGTAGGTGTTCAGGTAGGTCAATGTAGGAATCTAGGTTGGTGTTCAGGTAGGGCAATGTAGGTATCAAGGTAGGTGTTCAGGTAGGTCAATGTAGGTATCAAGGTATGTGTTCAGGTAGGTCAATGTAGGTATCAAAGTAGGTGTTCAGGTAGGTCAATATAGGTATCAAGGTAGGCAAATGTAGGTATCAAGGTTGGTGGTCAGGTAGGTCAATGTAGGTATCAAGGTAGGTAAATGTAGATATCAAGGTTGGTGTTCAGGTAGGTCAATGTAGGTATCAAGGTAGGTCAATGTAGGTATCAAGGTAGGTAAATGTAGGTATCAAGGTTGGTGTTCAGGTAGGTCAATGTAGGTATCAAGGTAGGTGTTCAGGTAGGTCAATGTAGGAATCTAGGTTGGTGTTCAGGTAGGGCAATGTAGGCATCAATGTAGGTGTTTAGGTAGGTCAATGTAGGTATACAGGTAGGTCAATGTAGGTATCAAAGTTGGTGTTCATGTAGGTCAATATAGGTTTCAAGGTAAGTGTTCATGTAGGTCAATGTAGGTATCAAGGTTGGTGTTCAGGTAGGTCAATGTAGGTATCAAGGTTGGTGTTCAGGTAGGTCAATGTAGGTATCAAGGTTGGTGTTCAGGTAGGTCAATGTAGGTATCAATCAGGTAGGTCAATGTAGATATCAAGGTAGGTGTTCAGGTAGGTCAATGAAGGTATCAAGGTAGGGTCAAAGGTGTAGGTATCAAGGTGTTCAGGTAGGTCAATATAGGTATCTGTATCAAGGTAGGTGTTCAGATAGGTCGTCAATAGGTCAAGGTATCAAGGTAGGTGTTCAGGTACAATGTGGGTATCAAGGTTGGTGTTCAGGTAGGTAAACGTAGGTATCAAGGTTGGTGTTCAGGTAGGTAAATGTAGGTATCAAGGTTGGTGTTCAGGTAGGTAAATGTAGGTATCAAGGTTGGTGTTCAGGTAGGTCAATATAGGTATCAAGGTAGGTGTTCAGGTAGGTCAATGCAGGTATCAAGGTAGGTCAAATGAAGATATCAAGGTAGGTGTTCAATCTTAATGTAGGTATCACGGTTGGTGTTCAGGTAGGTCAATGTAGGTATCAAGGTTGGTGTTCAGGTAGGCCAATGTAGGTATCAAGGTTGGTGTTCAGGTAGGTCAATGCAGGTATCAATGTAGGTCAATGTAGGTATCAAGGTAGGTGTTCAGGTAGGTCAATGTAGGAATCTAGGTTGGTGTTCAGGTAGGGCAATGTAGGCATCAATGTAGGTGTTTAGGTAGGTCAATGTAGGTATACAGGTAGGTCAATGTAGGTATCAAAGTTGGTGTTCATGTAGGTCAATATAGGTTTCAAGGTAAGTGTTCATGTAGGTCAATGTAGGTATCAAGGTTGGTGTTCATGTAGGTCAATGTAGGTATCAAGGTTGGTGTTCAGGTAGGTCAATGTAGGTATCAAGGTTGGTGTTCAGGTAGGTCAATGTAGGTATCAAGGTTGGTGTTCAGGTAGGTCAATGTAGGTATCAAGGTTGGTGTTCAGGTAGGTCAATGTAGATATCAAGGTAGGTGTTCAGGTAGGTCAATGAAGGTATCAAGGTAGGTGTTCAAGTAGGTAAACGTAGGTATCAAGGTAGGTGTTCAGGTAGGTCAATATAGGTATCTGTATCAAGGTAGGTGTTCAGATAGGTCAATCTAGGTAGGTCAATGTAGGCATCAAGGTAGGTGTTCAGGTAGGTCAATGTGGGTATCAAGGTTGGTGTTCAGGTAGGTAAACGTAGGTATCAAGGTTGGTGTTCAGGTAGGTAAATGTAGGTATCAAGGTTGGTGTTCAGGTAGGTAAATGTAGGTATCAAGGTTGGTGTTCAGGTAGGTCAATATAGGTATCAAGGTTGGTGTTCAGGTAGGTCAATGCAGGTATCAAGGTAGGTCAATGAAGATATCAAGGTAGGTGTTCAAGTAGCTTAATGTAGGTATCACGGTTGGTGTTCAGGTAGGTCAATGTAGGTATCAAGGTTGGTGTTCAGGTAGGCCAATGTAGGTATCAAGGTTGGTGTTCAGGTAGGTCAATGCAGGTATCAAGGTAGGTCAATGTAGATATCAAGGTAGGTGTTCAAGTAGGTTAATGTAGGTATCAAGGTTGGTGTTCAGGTAGGTTAATGTAGGTATCAAAGTTGGTGTTCAAGTAGGTCAATGTAGGTATCAAGGTTGGTCAGTGTAGATCAGGTAGGGGCGACTTTGCTGATGATGACGCCGATGATGATGAAGTTGACAACGCTGACGATGATGACCAACAACCAATAACAATAACATGAAGAAGAGGACGGGTTTGAATAGATTCTTTTCAATAGAAAATGACGCTAAATATACATGGCTATGAATCCAAGCACACTAAATCCGCATCCATTTCCAATTTGACGAGGACAACACCACTCAAACAAAACATCACGTCAGTGAAAGCTTTTTACTTTATAGGATGAATCTAACGACAACAGAGCTGGACGCCCGCCACAATAAACCGACCACACTTGTAAATATAACAACACCGATCTGATTAAAAGCTAATGTTTAGGGACTCAGTTCACCCCATTCTATTGTCGTATTTGTTTTTCTTAGGAGAACATATACGATAATTGCTGCTTTTACATTAATTGACAATCCGCATGTGCCATCACGAACATTAGATCTCCTGGCGGACGGATTACCTGTGTGTCTGGTTGCCATGGTGATATATTACCCCCGGGTAGGCGGCGAGTGAGGGACTTCAAGAAGCGCAGAACGCGACGCCGCTGAGAAACACAGAACACTATTTAGATGTCGGCTGCTCGGAGTGTCGTCTGCTGCATATGCCGCCCGCCCTAGAAATGCACAGACAGTCGGATAACTTTTAGTTTTATTTCTCTCCCTTGACAAAAACTATTACATGTTACTTTGAGAAAGGTGTTTCATTGAGAGTAAATTGTTGGAAACTGTCTCACTGAATTTCAAGGGGAGGTGTTTAGGAACTGCCGAGTTTGGTGACAGGAAGATGAACTGGATATCACATTTTACTTCTGACATCAACATTCATCCTCGCCAACGTTGACGACTACGTCTGTTGCTGGGATGGACGTGCGCACGCGACGTCTCCTACATGTCCTGGCCTGGCTCCACATCTCTGGTAAGTTCTCTCTCGTATAGTCTCGTGGTAGCGTGGACCAGTGATATAAGATTAACAATATGTATGAAGACACTGAAAAAGCATAGTATTTTTAGGATTGCCCAGCCTACCGGCTACTACATGGTCAGGACTCCTCACAAATATAGTGTAAGTTCCATTGATAATATATGAAATAGATTATTGTTGAACTTGGCCAGCCAATATGTTATAACTATAGCTATAACGCAGTGGTTGGTGTAAGCCCCGAGTTCTTATCCTGACCCAGGTATACAAGTGATAGAACCAACCCACTACATGCTGTGAGACCTGTGACACAAGGGACTTGATGATACAGTGCTGGGCACCGGCAACCTATGCTTGGCTTGAGTGAGTAAGTGAGTGAGTTTAGTTTTACGCCGGTTTTAGCAATATTCCAGCAATACCACGCCAGGGGACACCAGAAATGGGCTTCACACATTGTACCCATGTGGGGATCGAACCCGGGTCGGTCCCGAACGAACGCTTTAACCACTAGGCTACCCCACCGCCCCTGATTGGCCTGAAGGGCGACACAGTAGATGCGGTGGTCAGGCTCGGTTCAGTGTGTGTTATCGCACCCTGGCGGCTTGGCACGCTGCACATAATATTAATCACCGGATTGTCTGGTCCACTCTTAAAATCAGTTGGAATGTTGTAGTATGCAACATGGCGTTAAGGCAAAAAGAAACAAAACCACCACATGATCGAGGGAAAAACAAAACGCCTTTGAGCAGATGAGATGAGCTTGGATAATGGCGCTATACAAATATATATAGCATTAAACAAATAAAAATAAATGATGCAATAGTGGAGAGTTAGTTCCATGGTTACAGTTACTCGGTGAGGGAGGTCAACCCAGGGTTCGATTCCCAACATGAGAGTATCCGCCGCCCAGTTCCAAGCAGAGATTCCCGGGATAGTTCAACTACTGGCATGGGTGTATGCAGCATCTGGTAATGAAAACCTAGTGATTACACTTAGCTGTACATCTTTATTTATCGCGAGAGTGACTCGGGATAGTTTTTTACGCCATTTCAGCAATAAAGTGCAACCAGTTCATGAACGGGGTTCGCCCCAAATAACTTTCACACAATTTACCCCTATAGGGAATAACCCGGGCCTCCCGCCTCACGATCCAGCAGTTTAACCACTCGCCCAAGACAACGTCCATACTTAGCTGTCATACTAACATAGTATAGACAGCTGGAGTCCTGGACAATCACACGTTAACCTCACATCAGTTGGCACTACTCGAACCCTGACTAGTTCAACATATACCACAATCATCATCATCATCATCATCATCATCATCATCACCATCACCGTCATCATTATATTGAGTTACTACACCCACCGAAGTTTATGTATTAAAAAACAACTCCTAAGAAGTATTATGATTCAATATCGTGCCCTTCCTGTCTATTACGTGGAGCGTTAAATTACATATACTGTTACATAACTGAAGTACCGTTAAGAACAGCTTCGATAATCTTGGTATGTACATGTAGATAGTATTTAGCACAGCGAATGCATTTGTACAACAATGCACTCAAACGAAAAGAGTACCAAATCATTCATTCACCAGCTCACTACAGTAAACAACTACGGTTAACTGCATGCGATACAAACTATATCCCATGAAAAAACAAACAAGAAATCCCAGCCGTGAGTGTCCGTGTGTTACAAGATATTAATATCTTCTACACGATAGTTTACACGTATCGTTGTCTACTTGGTCCACGCCTCATCATGGAAGAATATTCATAACATAAAATTATCATATACGACTACAATTAATTCAGTCAAATTATTCTAAAGGATTCTAGATCGTCCAAAGCTTCGCAATTCACTGTTGAGAGTTGCGTCCTTTAGGCTCTTGGATTCTATGCTCGCTGGTTACAAACCCAGATGCGATGATTACACAATGTCATTTAGAAAGCGGTCAAATGTAACATATGTTATATTTGGGATTACGTTTTCTTAGTAAAGTACAAATTCTAGTACTTTTAGAGTTGAGTCCCGTTCGGGATTCGAACCCACACCCTCGGAGTCAGGCACCTAATCGCCAGCACACAAAGTCAGCCGCTTAACCCGCTCAGCCACCGCGACTTCCACAGATGCGTCCAAGTGACATTGCCAGCACCATATCCTTGCTTCTCGCGGATTTCATCTGTGCGGCAGACTTCAGCTGTTGCATATATTCCACCTCAAGCCGGGTTATAAATATCGTTCGAGGCGGTACATCTCACTGACTCACTCAAATATTCATCTTCTTAAAGATTTGATTCAGACAACATTCAACCATCTTGTAGTTGTGATAAACGTAACTCCGGATAAATCCACTATATTAATTCATATTTTGTTTACACTTTCTGACCGGAAGGTTTTATGTAGACCCTTTCTTGTCACTAACTACGAGTAACCTGACACCTGTCCTATGCCCCACGTACAGTGAGTTTACGAGGAGCCTCTGTACTGTGAGAAGCCATGAACACGTGTTTCACGGTGACGGAGTTTCATGTCAGGAGTCCTTCAAACAGATTCTCGCCGTGAAGACCCACATTGGAACTGGTCTTGGCAACTAACGGGATCGGTCTGACTTACTAGCTCATCCGATCCATGTCGTCGTATGCCATATGGTAGATCGATGGTCCTCATGTCAATCTGTGGTCCAGACTCGATCATTGTAGATTGTCTTTATATATCTAGACCTAATAGTGCTGAATGATCTTCAACACCAGACAGGCGCCAACACAGTACGTGGACGCACGAAACAGGTTATTCATGAAAGCTTCTTCACTGCGTCCAAGAGCGTGCATGTGGCACTCTGTTGGTAGTTCAGTTGGACTACGGAAGACACCAGCCATGGTTATTGTGGTTCAGTTGAAGTAGACGACCTTTTTGGGAGACATGTAACGTATCACCTAGAGAGTCCTGTTATGTTTCCCGACCTTTCTATGGAGACATGTAATGTGTCCCGACCTTTCTATGGAGACAGGTAATGTGTCACGACCATTTTTATCAAGATATACAACGTACCATGAACTTTCCAGTGAAGTCTGTAACGTGTCACGACCTTCTCGGGAGATATGTAATGTCTCACGCTTTTCTAGGGAGGTTGTTGAATATCACTTCTGTTTTGTCAAATTCCGTATACTCGCCATTTGTGACTGGTTACCTGAGGTCGAGATGGCCAGAACGCGGCCAAGTGACCTTCAGAACAAATAGCACCAACCTTTACTGCAGCAAACACAGGCCTTAGCCTCTAATAATATATAAATCGTTAAAATAGATATGGAAATCGCTATAATAGATATTGAAGTCGTTTTCCCCCACAGAAGTCCGGTGTTGCGACACTGTGCTATCGGGATTACGTAATGGGTGGGTGTTGTTGTGAATGTGCGCTAATATTGCTCCGTCGGGCGTGTGTCGCTGTGAGTTGTCTACGATGACATGGCGGGCAAACAACCAATCAACCGTACACACTGACATCAGCGATATGCCATGTGTTGTTGTAAACTATATCGTTACCAGTCAAAATGATGCATTGTTAACATCGATTCTTCAAAATTGCTGCTCTCAAGTGACAAAGATGCAAACAGCTTTCAATGGCGGCATTGAACTAAGAATAACTGCTCGCTATTACAGTTCACACCAACCCTCCTCCGGGTCATTAGTGAACTGTCTTGGTATTTGTTAAGCAGTGTGGAGTTATACGTTTGTTGTCAGCATTATTAGAATTAATTCTTCTTGGGCTGGTTACCCGCTGTGCAGCTGAAACTGAAACTATCGCTCTCCCTCGGCCCGTGACGTAGCGTTGCTTCCTACTGTGTGATATCTAGTCGTTTAGGACAACGATTCGAATTTATAATAACTATTATTAATTTAACGTTCATTTTGATCAGATTGCGCGAAGGTCCATTGTTAAGATATCTCCGATCAATGTCAGGATTTTACGTTATCCCAGATAATCAGTCTATTAGAGTTTTTATGAGAGAGAAATCAATTGTGAAGAACATAATAGGGCGGGTATTTGGCATCAACATGAGGTATCAGTATATTTAGCCAGAGATCGATCACAGCTGACACTTTGCAGAAGGCGTACGTGACTGAAGCCTTCAGTCGGCAACCAAGATACATGCAGTTCATTTTTTGGGTCAGACGCGAATGATTTATCAGTTTTAACAAAAAATGAATTCTCAGCTTTTATGACTTTCGTATTCCCTGACGGTCGTTCAAAGCTGCCACGCTGATGTCAACATACTTTCAGCCATGTATACTGCCAACTCAGCTGAAGGTCGTCCTCGATCCGCAATTCCCGCAACCTTCCGAATATCGGCTTGGTGACGACTGTTTCTCGTCACCAATGTATGTTTCTCGTGATCTTTACCTAGACCACATTACCGTACCCGACTTATCCGGCAGCAAAACTACAGTCACACCACCGAGGTCACTAGCCAGGTGAGTCCGAACCAACAGGAGACAATAACTACCTTTCAAAACATGGATGGCATTTTGGGGATATCTTTGAACGGCGCCTACGTCACCGTCAACACCCACCGACCACTTTCAACGAACTTGGCCCTGGCTTGCAGTATGAACGGGATGGAAGGAAGCAAGTTGACAGTCCTGGATTGTCCTGAAAACAGAGGCGGATTCAGGCAATATTAATAAGTTTGACTGTTAAAGGTAAATGACGTAACTGACAGTAGGGCGCTTGGACGACTAATGCAAATCTCAGTCCGACGTCCCTGTTATAGGGGTGGGTATTGCAGAGAATTTTCATATTGCGATATACATATTGCGATGCGGAAGCATATATTGCGATATGTATTGCAATATATTGCAAGGATTATTTTTTTAAACTACTTATAATCGAGTTAATGCTTGATTATAAAGCAAAAACACAACAAAATCACTATGATTGATTAACCTTTTATAAAAACTTTTAATCATGACAAAATAAAAATGTAAGTAACATT